AAAATAACTGAAGTAAAAAGATGCTTTTGAATTACGATGCACGTGATGTTAATGACAGATCTTAGCCAGTAACCCTGTTTTCACTTTCTCCTTAGTGTCAGATCAACAGTGCCTTGGCTTCCTTCCATACTGCTTTGGAACTTGCAGTAGATCAGAGGGAAATCCAGCATGTCTGTCTGTATGAGATTGGTAAATATCAAATGTCTGTCCAGTTTCTTGGCATGAAATAGCATTAATACATCAGCTTATGTCCTGCTGAATGTCCCGCTCCTTAACCTTGCAAGTGTGGATGTGTTGCTGTGCACGCTGCCATGATTAACGCTGTTCAGTTTGTGTCTTTGTGAAATGCTGCTGCGTTTTGTAATCCTAGAACTTCGGTTGTTACCATAGCACCAAGTAGTGATGCTTATCTCAGTGAGTTCTCATGGCTTCCTTCTAATAGTTTGTTCCTTATAACGTTTTGATTTTAGGATAATAGGTAAAGTTTAATGAATTGAGTAAAACCATTTGTGAATATTTTATTGGACTGGTTATTAGAATTGAGAACTCTTTTCTCTTCCCTCCTACCATTGTTTACCTGAGAAGAAAAAGACGGTGCAGGAGAGGGTTGTGCACATGGGTGTCCGTCCCAGCTCTCCTGCCCGCTGACTCGGTCGGAGACCTCGCCCTCGTAGCTGTCGGTGCTTGAGCGCCTCCGCCGGCAGCGGCTGCGCAGTCTAGATGAAATTTCGCGGATGACGATCAGGCTGGGTGCCCGGTACACAGGAGGCCCCACACACATTAGCTGCTTCCTCCTCTCCCTCACTCCTGGAGATGAATTTATAGACAGACTTGGAGGCGTTTATTTGCCTAAGATTTACCCCCCTACCCACCTCCCCAGAGTTGTTGCTAAGACTTTTCTGGCTGACTGCACTAAAAGACATTAGTGATGGCATAATCCTTCAGTGTGACAGTTGCTCAGTTGTGCTGAGAAGTGTAAACACAACTTTGGACCTGAAGCAACAAATTTTAGTAAAGGATTCATACTTTTTTGAGTTTGAGCCTAAGACTGCAAGGTCACTTCGTGTGGCACATGTAAAAGGAAGGAAGGGAGGAGTGGAGGCGGGAGGAAAGATGAGGTGGGGGTGGGGATCAGAAGGGGGATTGGGCCTGGGCAGGCCGTGTGTGCAGAGACGGGGGTGGGCGCACCTGGGGAGGCAGGGGACGCCCGTCAGGTTGGACCTTCTGCTGCCTGCTACTCGCTCGCCTGCTGTAGACACAATTGTCTTCCTGAATCTTTTTAAAAGAAGAGTGCAAACTAAAAGATTGGGAACTGCCCATTAAACAGTATTACATCTCAAACTCCTGCTATGATTTAGGGAGGGGAGATGAGGTATGACCCAATGGGAACTGTATTTTTCTGCAGTCTGAATTCTGCTGGAGCTCTGGGTAGCAGCCTTAGTGCAGAATGGGGTGTGAAACCCATTATCAGTGTGATGTTTTGAGTGCGACAAGGCATCTCCGATTTCACAAGCAGTGAAGCAGTATAGAACTTGAATTAAAGGAACTAGCTTTGCTGGCCTTTGATTTTTCTTGTTTAAGATGCTGTTTTTGTTTTCTTCCAGTTTTATTAAGATGTAGTTGACATGTAACATTGTATTTAAGGTAGACAACATAAAAATTTGAACATGTATATTGCAAAATGATTATGGTGGCCTTTTTTGCGTGCACCGTTTCCAGGTCTGTGGCGGGATAGAATGTTAGAGCCCAAGGAAGCTTAGAAACCATGGAACCAGCACTAAGGGCTCCGGAAGGTCAGCTTGAGGGGAAAACAGCAGAGTCAGAACTCAGCCTCATTCAAGTTCACTGCTGCCTTCCACCTCTGTTTTTGCATTTAATTTAGATGTTACTCTGATGTCTACTTTAGGATGGAAATAATCAGCCCCAATTTTTATTCTAAAATATATCATCTTCATGTCATATCATATCCCATGAATTTGACACTACATTTCCTGGATGTATGGATCCCTGTCACCCCTGTAGTTCAGATGGTCTAAAATGACAAGACTACTTCATGATGCACCAGATACCAGGTTTTTTCTGGAGGGGATACCGTGGACAGGAAGGAGCCTTCTACCCTCAGTTCTCCCTCTTGTTAGTTCTGTGACCTTGAGCAAGTCACACAGCCTCTTCATGCCTTAGACTTTCTCTTTGATAAAGTGAGGACACCATCTGCCACCTTTTCAAGGCTGCAGTAGGATTAGAGAGAATTTACTCATGTGCCCAGAGCGCAGAGGGGATGGTTCAGTGGACGGGAGGTACTGTTACTGCCCATGGGGATAAGATTCCTGCATGCTCGCTGCTGCTGCTGCTTCCAGGATGCCAGCCTGACGGTGTTTTGATCCAGGGAAGATGGGGTCCTTTCCCCACTCCTGCAGAGGGAGGGTGGCAAGTACTTAATTTCTGACTGGCTTGCTCACTGCTTCTCATTGTTGCTAATGAACAGTAATCATTAACGCGCAGGTGGGTGCTGAAAACATTTTGGGCTTGTCACTAGGTGTATGACCTCAGGTACTGCTCCTTTCCCTGTGCCTGCTCTGGGAGAGGAGTACCTCTGTGCTTGGGTTGATCTCACAGCTGGAGGCAAACTGGACTGTTTTCCTAGAAATGTCTGCATCCCTCCCTTCTGTATTGCTTCACCAGAGATGCCTTGTCCTACTCAAAACATCGCATTGAAAATATTCAAGAGGAGAAAGGTGATTACAAAGGTTTCAGGTAGTTGGCACAGAACACTCACAGAGAAAGTCGGCGGCATGAGAGCTCTGTCCCTTAAAGGTGGGCGTCCTCCTTTGGGGTCACGCACTGGACGTCTCTCTTTCACAGGCTGGTGCAGCATGATAGAGCTGAACTTCAAGGATGCGTTCGATTCCTTTGAGAGGCTGAAAAACGAGTCCAGGTGGTCCCAGTGCTATTACGCCTACTTGACCGCAGGTGAGTAGACCACAGCGCCCCCTTCTCTGTCTCACGAGTTAGCGCACACACATGCGCTGATGGGAGAGCGATGACAGGAATTGTCCTTGTCACAGTTCCCTACAGCATGTAATGTTTTGTGCTGCAAGTAAGAAGCAGCTGAGCATTGCTCTCACCGGCCCGGCTGAACGTCGGGAAGTTCAGTGCCGCCGGCCCCGCGCCTGCCCCGCATTCCCCTGGGTGGCGGCTGGCTTGGTCACATGCTGGGACTTGGAAAAGCTTATTGTGATGTTCTCTCTGTTTTCGTGCATTTTGTCCAAAACAGCCTCAGCCTACCCTCAAGCCTCTCCTTTATTTTCTCAACTGTACTTTTCATTCATTAGAAATCTAAACAATCTTTAAAAATGTAACATATCTATTAAATTGTGTTAATATTTTTGTTTGGATCGTTAGTGCTCGGGTTACGAAGCTGCACCGATTTTGAGTAGTCCGTTCCCACCTTGTTTTACCTGCTACCCGTTATAATTACAGTGTGATTTTTGCAGAACACAAGGTAATTTCAACACTGCGTATCATTATGGCAGAAACACCTGTAATTTCTGATAGGAATATGAGTGCGTTGCCTTTTGGCCCTTCTGTGAGGAGATAGTTAAAGACGTGCTGCCACCTGGTGGACAAGACGGTTGTCTGCGCCCTGGGCTACAAGACACTCGGGGATGCAGAAGTGCCCAGGTGGGAATTGAGGAGCCCCAGGTGGCTGCACATTTGCTGCCTCTAACGATGAACTCTCCTTAAACACCCATGTAAGTGATTCTTTTACTTAAAATTCAAGACTCATCCAAACATTATTTTAAATATCTCCTCTTTTCTCTGAATATTTGGATTTAACAAAACATCTCCTGACGTTCCATCCCCTTAAATGATCTCTTTAAGGTGGAGTTCACAGTGGCCTGTATGTATATCCCAGGTGTTCTAGAACTGCGGCCCTTTAGCGGTCCAGGTGGAAGCCCCGTGTCCCCGCAGGCCCTCCTCCAGTCCCCGCAGGACGGGCGTTTTTCTGTGGCTCTGCAGCTGTTTGAATAGGAGTATTTCCAGGACGCTGCTTGGTATACTTTAAGGGTTGGTTTACAGAGCTGGCAGCATCTCAGGTGAAAGTAGCAGCTGTTTCCGGAGTGGCCTCGTGCGCTCAGCACCTTCATGAACCCAGCAGAGTGCTGCACGACTCAGCAGTTGTTCAGGTGGAATGGGGCCACGTAGCCCGTGTGGGCAGCTATCCCTTTTCTGACCTTTGTTGAGCATAGAACATGAAATAAAGGTACATTGTGGCCACATAGAGGAGCATTTATTCCCCAGAGACTGGAATTCCCAGGACCACACCAGCCGTAGGAGATGGTAAAGCGTGGAAGACACTGGTCTCCACCTCTACCCAGGGATATTGTGCAGATACGTGTGAATGGCTCCACTGCAGAGGGGACACAGGAGAGGGCAGGGTCCCTTCCGTCCAGCTGTCAGAGAAGGCACCTCGCAGGAGCTGCCTTTTGAGTTACATGTGGGCAGGCAGAGCTGGAGGAGACGGCTGTTCAGGGACCAGAAATACTGCCACCAGGAGTTTAATTCCTTGCACTATTTTTTAAAATTTAGTAAAATATACATAACATAAAATCTACCATTTTCACCATTTTTAAGTGTGTAGTTCAGTGGCATTAAGTTCTTTCACATCATTAAGCAGCCATGACCAGCATCCATCTCCCGGACTATTTTAACCATCGCAGGCTGAAACCCTGTGCCCATTAAACAGTACCTCCCCGCTCCGCCAACCCCAGCCCCTAACAACACACTGTTCTGCCTTCTGTCTGTATTCATTTGACTATTCTAGGTGCCTCGTACAAGTGGACTCATACAGCATTTGTTGTTTGTATCTGGCTTATTTCTCTTAGCATGATGTCCTCACGGTTCATCCGAGTTGTAGCATGTATCAGAATTCCATTTGTTTTTAAGGCTAAATATATTCCCTTATATGAATATAGCACATTTTGTTCATTGTCGATGGACCCTTGGGTTGTCCTGTCCCACCCTTTAGCCATAGTGAGTGACGCTGCTGTGAACGTGGTTCTCTTTGAGACCCCAGTTTCATTCCCAGTGGGCGTGTCACCTAGAGGTGGAGTTGCTGAATTGTATTCTTGTACTATTCTTGTAACTTCAAAACTTACAGAAGAGTTGCATAAAAACCAGAAGTTGTCCCCAAAGATTAGAATGTCACTTACAGGGTGATGTAAACTTAGTCTTTATGGACGAGCCAAGCATTGCAAGTTCTGTGTAGGTCTCGGATTTAGGGTAGATCAGAGATGCGCATGCTTTTAACCATCTGCTTCTTTTCAAGCAGCTGTGTCTGTAACTGTCCCGAGAGGAGGTGGTGTATATTCTTCGGGATCTGAGGTATCAGTGTTGTAGGTGGTCCAGATCCCGATACTGATGCTGCTTGACTCTCTCACGTACCCACATTTGCTCATTCTTTTATTAGAATTTTATGACTATGTAATAATTTTGTCAGTTATCTTAGGAGACCTCAAGCTCAAGGCAGCAGAAATTATTCTTTTTCATTGATTTACTGTGTGACCTTGGGCAAGTCTTTAACTTACCTAGACCTTTGCATCCTCTGATCTGTAACGTGAGGGAATTATTTTACAAAACAATCACCAGGCTTCCTTCCGGTTTTGAAATTTATAAGTGCAACAGATGAGACCATTTTGGATGGCTCAGACAGCCACATCTGGACCAGTTACTCCCGTACCCGGAAATGGGGTTCACACTCCCTCTGAATATTCAGCCTAATCCCACTCACCCCCAGGAGAAGTCTGCCTTTCCCGTCACCTCGACGTCCTCCACTTTCCCAGCCTCGATGCTTGTGCTGCTTTGACCCTCCAACAGCTGCCCGTTCTCTGACAGCCGTGGCCCCGTGCCCACCTTGACCAAGCCCCCGAGTACAAGTGTAGGGCTGCCCAGTTTTAGGACTGCTCGAATAAAGAAGGAAGATCTAGCAAATCAATGGACATTCCAATGGGGGGGATTGAAAAACAACATGTGGCAAAGACAAAAACAACCCCCAAATTAATAGAAATGAATTCAGTGCCATGGGGGCTGAGGAAAGAATGACAGAGGAGTCAGTCAGGTGTCAGCCAGGAGGTGGGGCTGCAGCCAGCTGTGAAGTGTGGAGAAGGGAGAGCAGGTGAAGCCGAGGAAGTAGGGTGCGGTCTCTGCCTGGGGCTTGGGGTGGGATGAAGGGTGTGCAGACCATCGAGATCTTACCCTCCTCCAGGCTCAGCTTGACTCCTAGATCCTCAGAGCTCCCCTGATCCCTCCAAAGAGGAACAATCCCTGCCCTTCTTGAGCGTTTCCAAAAGTACTTCGGTGCTCGAACTCTGAAGCCTCTTAACACTGTATCCCTGTGGCTGCGGGACTGTGTGTCGCATCTCTCTGGCTGAAACGCACGTGTCTTCAGGGTGTAAGCGTGTGCGTTTCCTCTTTGCATTCTTGCTAGTGGCAAGTGTCCACGGAACGTGTGCAGGACTAATTCGTGATTTCCCTTCCAGCTGTGGGACATCCTGTGAAAAGACGCAATCCTCCTGGCTCCTAATTGTCCTTTCCTAAATTCCTTTTTATTTCATTTTCCGAGTGTGGGGGCTCCAACTGGAGCAGCTGTGCTCTGTGACAATATAAGAGAGGGTTGTCACGTGCAAGACTGTCTCCCCACAAAAGGACTAGGACCGTTGTCTTCCCACTTGTCTCCCCAAAGCTGTGGGAACGTGGCATCAGGGAAATGGTTGCTGAATCAGTGGAGTGACAGTCAGCAGGATGGTGTAGCCCCTGTGTAACAGTCTTTAAAAATACTTGCTTCTGTTTTTTCCTTTACTGACACTTTCCACGTATCATCAGCCTCGGTTTCCCTGGGTGGCCCTTTCCCCCTAGCGCTTAAGGAACACTGCAGTGGTTTCTTACAGTTTGTCAAGGAGCCACCGGTGATGTGGACGGGGCCCAGATTGTCTTTAAAGAGGTCCAGAAACTCTTCAAGAGGAAAAACAATCAGATTGAGCAGTTCTCAGTGAAAAAGGTACGTTGGAACCTGTTGATCTGGTGTGTCGTTTGTGACGGGCGTTAGTAACTGTTACTGCTTTGGGCA